AGCGAGGAGCTGCTCCAGCCTCCACCCATGCCTGTGAGGCTGGGAAGGGGGTAGATGGGTGAGGGTTGGGCCCCAGGTAGAGTGTCCCTGCCTGGCTCGGGGTCTGGCTGGCTAGGCTCTGGTCTTCAGGGAGACGCACATGCATCATTCTGCCACACAGTGAGGTGGCCCCGTCACTGCCTATGTGTGCAAGTGCCGGCCTTCTGGTCTGTGTCTGTCGAAGTACAGACCACCTTAGAAAATCCCCTCCCTGATGTGCAGCACACAATACTGTGCATGTGCAGACATTGTGAAACCTATCTTAATCCTATCTGTCTTTCCACAACGCCCCGTTGCCTGTGACACTGGTCACGACTGTGAACACCTCCTGATTAGAGTCATGAAGGGTGGAAGCCATTCTGTTATTTTCAAAATGTTTTTTCCTGGTTGCCCAGTGTGGCAACTGGCCCAGGGGCTACTGGATCTCCATGACCCAATTCCTCTCAATTTGTACTGTTTTATTTTACAAAAATCCCTAGATTCTGTGTCTCTTTGCTCAATTTCCGCTTGTGGTCCTGTACCCCATTTCCATGTTTAGTCTCTCCAGTCTCTGGGATGTAGCAAGAGCTGGTTCAACAGTGAAGTGTTGCTTTCAAGAATCCTTTCTCCAGAGAGATTCCTGATCTGTAACTATCCATCAAGTCGGTTGCTATTCTCTTTACCAACGGGGGAAGGGTTCACACACAAGTCAGCTGTTTGCAAGAGATAGTAGGGTCCAATGTTGTTTGGTGGATCCAGATATTTTCTGCCTTTCTGGGCATGGCAGATTCTTTTAGGATTCTTCCAGTGCCTGCTAGGGCAAGTTCATTAGTCACAAACAGATAAAATGCCAAAACCAAACACTAATAAATGACAGTATGGTTCAAATCGCAGTTCAGGGTTCCTCATCTGTTATGTCGAGGATATTTCCCAAAAGGACTCTGAAGGTTGGTCGCTCCTCTGCTTTCTGAAACAAAAAGATGCATAGAGGAAAATACCAGTGAAGTAGAACCCCAAGACCAAATTCAGACTGACGCCTTGCTAGAAGGGTTTTGCTGCTGTAGATACACCAGTGATAACTGCATCTATACCAGAGGGATTTTGCTGATTTAGCCATACTGATAAAAAAAATCACCCCTAACAAAGTGGGCTTCTTTCTCCCCTACCTCTGCCCCAGGACTAAATGGCATTTGCAGAGCAAGGATGGGTCTGTTGGAGAGACTATGGAGACTTGCAGACTGGTGGTGGTAGACACGAAGGCTATGTACTGGTGGGAATAAGACCTACCTCGTGCCAGCAGCTGTACATGATAGCATAAATTCTCTCTGAGGCCAGCTGAGGCCGATAGAGACGCAGTCCTTGGGTGACATGTTCTGTTGTCTCACTGTTGTTAAACCTCTCATAGGGCATCTTTCCCAGAGAGTAAATCTCCCACATCAGAACCCCTGTCAAATAGAAATACACATTGACAGTCTGTGGGGCAGAAAGGCTACAGTCTCATACTTGAACCAGATTCCTAGAGGAGCTGATTCTCTCTGATTCCAATCACTCTTGTTTCCCTGTAAGCAACTCTTTGTCCTCTCAACTCACCAAAAGCCCAGACGTCAGACTTGCTGCTGAACTTGCTGTACAGAAGGACCTCAGGAGGAGACCACCGGACTGGAAATTTGGAGCCCATGGAGCTTGTATATTCATCATCTAGGACATACCTGCAATGCACACACATTTTATGTGATGTTGCACCATTTCCCCCCCCAACCATTCACTTTTTTAATCTCATAATCTCTCCGGCACGTAGTTAAGCCTGAAAGGAAAGGAGAGACGAGACAGAGAGGGAGGAAAATACACATGGGTGAGATGGAGGCAGTGGCAGAGCAAATGATAATAGGGAAGAGACAGGAAGAAGGCAGAGAAAAAGCTTGGTGAGAGATTTAGGTGAAATGACAGAAGGAGGAGGCAAGTGCGCAAGGGAAAAGAAGAGCAATGAAGAGGAGAAGCGTGGAAGAGAAAGGAGGGAAGATGCATGTACATATATAAAAACTGACCTGGAAAGGCCGAAGTCAGAGACCTTCACAACTCCTTGGTCATTCACTAAACAGTTGCGAGCAGCCTGTAGGCACAGAGATGGAAAGAGTTGGCATTGATTACAGCAGATGAAGTACACCAGTGGTCTCAAACTCCTGGGCCGTGGGCCATCCCCAGCCAGAGCACCTGCACAATCCAGCCAGGAGTCCTGGTGGGCCAGAGGAAGGGCTGTCTGTTATCGTTCCCTATGCCCTGTCCCTTCCCGCCATTGTCCTCCCCTCCCCCCCCATTGCACCCTGAGGGACACGGCCTCAGGGATTACGGGCGGGCGGGGGCCTGGCACTGCCTGATAGCAGCCTCAGCTGGGACCCCACTCTCCCAGCAGCAGCAGGGACTGCAGTGGAGTGAGCACATGCCACTTCCCCACTGCTCCTGCTACTGCAGAAGGCCCGACCACTAGTGCTGCCCCAGGCCAGGTCCCCTTTGTAATCTCTGAAGCTGCAGCTTCAGGGATGAGGGCAGGGCTTGGGGAATGGGAACAGACAGGCCCCCTCAGCCTGCCAGGACTCCCAGGCCAGATGGCACAATTGCTCCGGTCTGGGATGGCCCACGGAGAGAGAGTTTGAGGCCCCTGAAGAACACAAAGCCCCTTCCTGAGGGGAAATAATTGCAGCAGTGACCGTCCCCCCCAGCAAACACAGAATAGCTTGCCTTGGTCTCCAGGGGCTCACAGGTAGGCACCGATTGCCAAACCACAGCTCCGTATCATGGAGGAGCATGAACCACGACTGTGCCCGGTCACAGGTTACTGAGACGCCCGCTACGTGAGGGGAGGTCTGAGCCTCGCCGAAGCTGGCATTCTGCTCAGGACTTTTCAGAAAGACGTGGTGGATACAAGGGCCACGTTCCTGCACTGCTCAAAGGCAGATCAGGCTAGGTTGGCAACTTTCTGAGCAGCATTATTCCTACTCACCATCTCCCCAAGTCCTTTAACATGATCAGGATTGGAAGTGGAAACTCTGTACGAGCTACCCAGCCAAATGGCTCTTTTTAGCTTGTGTATTAACTGTACAGCCTGTGGTCCCAAATACCTCTCAAGTGCAGAGGCCCTACCTTTCACAGCTGTCTCCAATTTTGCAATGCCGGTTTATGGGTGCCAGTAATTATGATCTCATTTTCACACCCATAAGTGTCTGCAGGGACAGTTAATGTCTGTTACAATACATCTTTACCTGCCATCAGCCAGACAGAGGCGTAAGTGACTTTAAGTGCATCTGATTGTAAAAATGGGGCCATGAGGTTTGGCCTACACTTAAAAGTTAGGTTGATGTAGATAGATACAGTCACTATGGCCAAGGATGTGAAAAAGCCCATAACCCTGACCAATATAGCTATGCTGACCAAACTCCCAGGCCACGTCTAGACTGGCCCCTTCTTCGGAAGAGGCATGCTAATTTCTAACTTTGGAATAGGGAAATCCGCGGGGGATTTAAATATCCCCCGCGGGATTTAAATAAACATGGCCGCCGCTTTTTTTCCACTGGCACGATCCTCCGGAATAAAGCCCTTTTCCGGAGGATCCCTTATTCCTACTTCAGGAAAAGGGCTTTATTCCAGAGGATCGCGCCAGTCTGGACGCTCTTTTCCAGCTTTTCCCCAAGCCGGAAAAAAAGCGGCGGCCATGTTTATTTAAATCCCACGGGGGATATTTAAATCCCCCGCGGATTTCCCTATTCCAAAGTTAGAAATTAGCATGCCTCTTCCGAAGAAGGAGCCAGTGTAGACACAGCCCCAATGTTGAGGGAAGAATGCGTCCGTTGACGTAGCTGACTTGAGGAGGTGGTGTAGTTCCTCCAATCCAGGATCCAATTCTTTGCTAACTCCTGCAGCCATCTACTGATTGTCCAGAACATGAGAGCTGAAGTTTAATCTACTTCGCTACAACTACAATCAGGCACTGAGTTGTCCAGCCCCAGGATGTTACTGTGACCTCCCACGTCAGTGACTCTCCCAGGGCCCATTACACCTAAGAGAAGAATCATTTCCTGTTATTTGTTCTCAGTTCACCAGCCCTTAGTTTCACTGAGAACTGGATAGTTTGGGTTGCGCCTGTAAGTTCAGCCAAGTCTTCTAGGACACCCTGTGACTCTCACAGCACTAAAGGTGCATCACTCCGCATGCCCCTTACGGACCCTACCAGGTCTCGGTGCAGGAACTGCTTCGATTCCAGGTACTCCATGGCCTCACAGATGTCCTTGCACATCTCCAGCAGCTCGGAGGGTGGGAACCGGCTCCGGGTTTCCCGCAGGTAGTTCAGGAGGCAGCCCTTAGCCATGTACTCAGTGATAATAAAGATGGGGCGCTGCTTGGTGCAGACACCATACAGTTGCACCAACTTCTCGTGTGACAGATTCCTGTGTTGTGGGACAAGAAAGGAAATGAAAGTGCAGAAAGCCGCCGGGAGATACCAGAGGCTGGCAAGGGCAAGCATTCCATGTCTGGCATCCTCTGGCAAAATAGTCGCAGGGGGGAGCGGGGCTCTACCACAGGTGGGAATGGCAGTGTCCTCTCCTCGCAGACCCGGACAGAACTGGGGTGCAGAGGGGGAGCCATGCAGGGAGTGACCAGGAGTGAATGACCCCAGAGGGTGAATTCTGAGGCTGTAGCGAGGCCAAACGACATCTCTGTAGTAAGACCCCAGAGGCGACGCACAGCATTGGTTGTCACTTACATCATGACTTTGGCTTCCTCAATGAACTCGTCTTCTGACATGGAGCCTTCTCTGATCATCTTGATGGCCACGTCAAACTGCCCTCTCCATTTCCCATACTTCACCACTCCAAACTGCCCCGTGCCCAGCTCCTTCAGGAACGTCAGGTCTTTGGGGTCAATCTCCCACGACCCTGCAACAAACAGCAGCATGGGCAATCCTGCGGCAGTAACTCACTGGGACAAACATGCGCATAAGAAGGGATGCTGTAGGGACAGGTGCAGGGACACTCGCAGCCTCCCCAGACTGTCCCGGATGGGAACCCAGTAGGGCAGTGTTTCTTAAACTGTGTTCTGCGGCACACCAGTGTGCCACGGAGAACAAGAGTTCAAAATGGCCGCTCTTAAAGGGGCAGGCAACTTTTTTTCTTTTTTTGCTCAATAATTTTTCCCCCGCCCCGCCCCCCCCTTTTTTTCTTTTTGCTTAACAAAAAACCCTTGGTGTTCCTCACACAAAAAAATGTTTGGCGTTCCTCGTCTTAAAAAGTTTAAGAAACACTGTTGTAGGGGATGGTGCAAGAGCTCTAGTAGCAGAGCAGCAGGTCACTGCAGGGAACAGGCAGACGCAGGCTGTATCGTGCAATACCATCACCCATGTATGGAAGAACAGCAGCTATTACCATAGCCGAGGCCTGCTGTGGAGGGGGCATTCTTCTGTTGGTGCTGAGACACAGGGTATTTCAGTCTGGAGATGAGCCCTGAAACACAGCACACAGGAGCCAGTGTAAGGCACCGCCCCTGCCCTTGGCAGACATTCCAGAAAAGAACAGGCATTTCCAGCATCCACATCAGCAGGAACCTACAGTCCTGGCTTTGGGCCCCAATGCTGCTCTGTCTTGCTCACTGGGACCCAGTATCATGACCTCCTGAAACCCGGAGAGAAGGGGTACACAGGGCAGCTGTCCCCTTCAGAGGGACTCAGACGGATCTGTCTGTCTTTAAGCCAAATGAGCCCACTTCCGCCCACCTGCAAGCAATTAGCGGCCAACCAGCCTCCTGTGCAGTCAGTTAATGAAGGAGTCTGTAGCAGAGCCCAGTTGGGGGGGCTCCCTAGGGAGGGCTGCCTCCAAGGAGAGGAGTGGCGAGGGACCTCCGCTGAGTTCTCAACCCAGGGAGAAAAGGACTGAGGTAAGAAGGGGCCCTTGGCAGGGGCTGGCTGGGTGCCTCCTGACTTGAGGAGCACATCCCAGCAGGGAGGGGCCTGACAGCAATGCCTCAGCGCTAACGGTGAGAAGACCCTGACTCCAAGCAGGGGCGCCTCTGCAGGAAGGTCATTACCCTGAAGAAATCTGACGGCAGGAGAAAGGGAATATTCGGTAATGCTGGAGGTGGGGGCGGTTTCTTTCTGAATCGAAAGGGGAGGGGGAGCTGCCAGCAGAGTCTTGGCTTGCCACAAAGATGTGGCACCCTGCCACTAAGGCTACGTATATACTGCCGGTTTTGCTGGCAGTGAGTATGCAAATGAGGTGCAGATTAGCATATTGCCACGCCTCATGTGCATATTTTATGCACACTGTTTTTGCAGAGGAAAAATGTAGTGTGGATGGTTTTTTTGCACAAAACCCCCATTTCCTGCAAGATCCTTATGCCTCTCCAAGAGAGGCACAAGGATCATGCAAAAAACGGGGTTTTTGTGCCCAAAAAAATGTCCACACTACTTTTTTTTCCCACAAAACCCCTCTGTGCAAAAACAGTGCGCATAAATTATGCACATGAGGCATGGGGATATGCTAATATGTGCATCATTTGCATACTCACTGCCTGCCAAACCAGAGTGTAGATGAAGCCTAAGAGCGTTCTAGACCAGTGGTTTTCAAGCTGTGGGTTGGGAGCCCAGTGTGGGTCATCGCCCCATTTTAAGGCGGTTGCGAGGACTTGCGTAGACTTGCTGGGGGAGCCGTGGGCCAAAGCCTGAGCCCCCCCACCCAGGACAAAGCCCAGGCCCCGCATGCTTGTTCTGTGCCCAGTGATACCACTGAACGCAAAGGGGCAGTTTCACCCTGCCTCTGCCTGGACCATTCCACCCTCTTCTGAACTGCTGCCCCCTCTGTGGGAGCTGCTTTCTTCTCATGTCTCTGGGCTTCTGCTCTTCTAGGGAGCCCAGTGGTAGGAGAAATGACGCCACCAGCTGTCTCCCTGGGCGCCTGCTGCCAGGGGTCAGGTGGGCAGCTGTGCCTTTGGGCCCCTCCAGCCCCACTGCTGGCGAGGGAGAGGCAGCGCTCGTATGGGAGATGGGGCTCTGACAGGAATCTGCTTTCCTCGTGCGTGCTCACCGGCAGAGTTGTGCTGATGGTAGGTGATGAGCTCCGGGATGGTGGTGAAGAAGTGCTTTTCCGCCAGGTAATACTGGTTCTGGGGCGTGGAGCACACCACGTAATGGCGGATCACTCCTTGCGTGTCCCTGCAGAGCCAATCACACACCTGGTCAGCGCCTGAGGAGAGGCCCGGGGGGGCTGGCAGCTAGTGAGGGAGGCAGGCCTGGAAAGTGGGCCTCAGAGCAAGGGGCAGCAAGGGACCAGAAGCCAGCCTGCTCTCCTGATGGAAAGCCACCTCAGATGGCGCTTACCCTGCAGACTTGGCAAACACAGAGACCGTGTATTTCCCTGTCTTGCTGGTGGAATCTCGGACAATGAAGCCTCCTTCTTTGCCCTGGAACACAGAGAGAGGGATTCAGCGTGGAGGACAGCGCGGGAAGTCTGAGGAGACGAGGGATGGGACCACGCGAGTGGGCAGACAGGGGTTAAAGTGAATTGGGCCCTGTACAGCCAGCCGGAGGGGGAGGAAAAGTGGGCAGAGTCTCCACAATTAGTCGGGGAGCCCAGCACAAGGGTTTCCTGGCTTGTCACAAGGCCTGTGCGTGGGGCAGGGCTGCACACGCCAGGCACAAGGATCGTGTGCAGCTCAAGCTGGAGCGGATCTCTTGGGTTCAGTTTGCTTTGTCTTCTGACTGGACTCTTGGCCTGGGCCGGTCTGGGGCTAGTGCACTCTGCGACGCAGCCCTCTGGGACCATTCATCTGGGCCCTTCTGCGGCAGCCTCCGTGCCACGGGGGTAGGAACACCCCCCTGCTCCGCTCAAAGGAGGCAGCAGCTTTGTACGCATCCGGCCAGACCCTCAGCTGCTGTACAGTGACCACTCCCCAGACTTGCATGGAGCTCCTGCGAGTGACACCCGCGGGGGGGGGAGGAGGGGGCAGCCTGGAGATGCTGTTAATTCCTATTGAAACAGCATCACTAGCCGAGCCAGCCCCCTCCCCCCCCCACACGTCTTTGCTAGGCTGAATCAGGCCTGGGCTCTGAGAAGAGCCCGGCAAGCACACAGTGGAGAAAGGCTCCCTGCAGTTAGGTCCCTTCACTTTGCCGACGCCACAGTCACCTCTTGCTTCAGCAGTTGCTCGGCTTGGCTGCGGGTGATGTTTTTTGAATACCACCTGGAACAAGAGAACAAGGCTGTGAGAAGGAGAGGCCCCTGGGCAGGAGACCACACGGGGATGGGGACGGGCTCCCAGCTCACCGGCCATGCAGAGGGCCTGGCTGGGCACGAGGCAGCCACTGCTCTCCTGCCCCCCATTCCAATACCGTATCCTGTGGCAACAGCACAAAGGCTCTGGGGCAGAGCCAACCCCTTCCCTCTCCCCCGGTGTGGGGTGCGGGAGCCTGGCAGTTAAATACTATTTTAAGTAGAGGTGCAAATGAAGCCCGAACCCCCCGCTGACTGGCCCCACCGCTTCGCAGACTCACTCAAAAATCTCCAGGGAGTTCTTGGTTTCCGTGACGTAGTTGCTGGGGATGTAACCTTCCTTCCTACAGGAGGAAAGAGACCCCATCAGCCAGTCGGCAGGGAGCTCAGGTGACGCGTGGCCGTGGCCGTGGCTGGGCTGTGTCTCCCCCCGGCTGCCCACGCCAGGGCTCTTACCCGTTCTTGTCCCGGGCTCTCCACCAGGGCAAGTTGCTCTCCTCCAGGACCAGGTACTCCTCTCCCTTCTGCAGCTGCAGGTCCTGCGCGTTCATGGGCTGGTAGTCGTACAGCGCCACCACCTTCTTCAGTTCACTTACAGTGCTGGGAGCCGGCTCCGGGGGCAATGGCTTCATCATCATCTTCCCAGGGCAGGGGAAGCAGAGAAGAGAGTGAGGGACCGCCCGGGGGGGGGTGGGGGGGGGGCCCCCTCCTCAGCCTGACTGCATGTTTCTCCGGTGTACTCACCCACACCCAGGAATGGGTTAAACCAACACGTCCCCTCTTGGGGGCTCGTTCATCGAGTCGGTACAAAACATGGGCAGTTCCTCTGGCCTCCCTTTGCCCGGGGCCCAGTTCTCTCTCAGCAGGGACCTTCCCACCCCCACTCTGGCCCCAGGACCTCTCTGGTACAGCCTGCCTCCAGGCCTTTTCTTTTCTCCTCCTCCCTAGGGCTTTCCTTGAGCTCTCACAGGCTGAGGAGAGTTTTCTGTCAGTGGCTCTGGATGGAGCCAGGAGCAGCCCTTCCTAATGCTCTGCAGGCTGGCACACCTGGCGATCTTACCTGCAACCAGCTGCTCTGAAATGCCTTAGCATGGGGCTCCCAGGCCTCCCCAGCTCCCCAGGGTACAGGCCAGCCTGTGCCAAGTACCCATCCCAGCTCCTCCGGGGTCGGGGGAAGAGGCTTCTTCGTCTTGCGATGAGACTTCCCGGGCTTCAAGCCTTTGAGAAAAGAAATGAAGCAACAAGCTGAAAAACTCACGTGCTCAGACGCTGGCGCAGGG